AGAGAGAGAGAGAGAGAGAGAGAGAGAGAGAGATCTAACACCTGCCGAAATCCTGCTCCCCCAAGGCCTGTGCTAAGCATTCTCACCCCTATTCGAGGAGAAAGTGGAAGCGCTTTCTACACAGCTGGAGTAGATCCCCGGACATGTGGCCAGCCTCTGCCCTTCAGGGTTACTGTCTCTGGTTAGAATAAGGAAGTTAAGCCACCTGACCCAGGTCACACGGGAGAATAGAGCTCTGAAACTGCTCGAGCATACGTGATTCCTCGCTCACCAACGAAGGAGGCAGGGCATGGCACGGCTCTGTTCTGTTTTACCACTGTAACTTAACCCATGTGAACTAAACTGTGCCTCCCAAAGACGGGGCTGGGGCTAGCTACACACCCCACACCGAGGCTGCTTGGGCGGGGCCGCTGAGCAGAAGCAAGGCTCTGGTTTTAGGACCTGGAGCTGTATAAGGCATCACTTGCCTCCCTGCTGCCCCAACAGTCTGACTCAAACACCCCATGGCTACCTCAACGCAACCATGCTGGGCACTGCCCCATTCCCCTTGCTCCTCTCTCTCAAGTGACATGAACTCCTTAGCCAGAAGACCCCTTCTGCCCCTCTGCTGAGAGGACTTCCTTGCTATCTTTCAAACCATCCTCTCCCCATCAGCCCTGCCCCAGCCCCAGACCCTTCACAGGTCTCCACTGCCTCCACACTCTCAGCCACAGAATCTTCTATTACGCAAACGAACCACGCAAGTCCTTGATGCTGCTCAAGTCCAGCTCAGACTCCAGGTAACCTGGCCCCTGGCATATCCTGAGCACATACACGAACGCTCACTGCTCTGCTGCCGACCAGGAGTGAGGCCACAAGGCTCTGCACAGGATCAGTTCCTACCCTTTTATATCTGACTGACTCCTGATTCCTCAAGGCCCAGCTGGTGTTGAATTAGAGCCTTAATCAGAGCCTTGAACACCTCTTGGGCTTCCTGGGATGCACTTTGTCCTGTAGCAAATCTTTGTGCCCTTCCAGCCCTCAGTTAAGCCCTCCCCACCTCTGTCCTTGGACCTCGCATGGGGGCACAGGACAGGTGCCCCAGACCTGTTCGTGATAAGTTTCTCTCACCTGCAGTTCTAATTCAGTCAGGGTTTCACTAAGCAGGAAATCCTACTTTGTGGTAATTGAGTCCCTGTGCCTCTGAGAAATACCCTAGAACTCTGGGCTTGGAAACAAAGAGTAGCACAAGGCTGCTGGCACATCAGAGAAGCAGGGGCCAGTTATTGGTTCTCCCAAGACAGACTGCAGTGCAGATGGTGCAGGGAATGGGCAGGGCCACATCACAGGAGACACTGAACACACCTGTGGGTGCTGAGGGCTGCCACTCACCTCCAAATCAGTGGACCAGAGCCAGGCCCAGCCCTGAAGTTCTACATCTGCCTACAGGATTCCTTGAAGCCACATCTCCTCTGGATGCCACCAGCCTTGCCTGTCCTTTCCTGCTCACTGGTGGTACAGCCACGGTGAGCCTTTGTCACACACAGATGTGACAGGTGGATCCCCTAGTCTACCTAAGAGCTGCCCTCAGCCTGCCACCTGAGGCCTTTCACAACATAGTCCCTGGCCCCCAGCCCCTTCCCTCTCAAGTGGCCACAGGCAGCTTCCACTTTGCTACTGCACCAGGAGCTACTTGTAGTATGTCACAGACAAAACCCTACACCGGCCTCTATCCCTGCTATTTCCGGCCTGCAATGTCACTTCCTGTTCTACCTGACATCACCTGCTCCTCCTTTCAGACTCAGCCAGGACACCCACCTCCCAGAACAGAGTGACAACCACGCTACTCCCACCTTGGCGCTCCTGTGAAGCACTTGCCACACACCTGTGCCCCAGCAAGAGAATGGCCCCTGGCACTGAGCAGTCACTCCAAAAAGGTACAGCCAGAGAAGACAGTTCTGTGCAGTGTAGAAAGGATGCAATATAAAAAGAAACCCACAAATAGGAGGCGTGATTACCAAGGGTCTGGACCCAGGGGGGACAGTGAGGCTGGACTGTCAGCCCCCAGAGGCAAGAAGCATCAGACATGGTGGCCACTTCTCAGGCACCCACTTACACTGGTCAAAGATGACTTTTTCCTGGTGCTTGCTCTGCTCCAAAAGCTTCACAGTGTTTTGCAACTTCTTCTCTTGTTCAAACAGTTTTTTATGTAGTTTGGTGATCTCTGCTTTCATTTCTTTTACCTAAAAAGAAAAAGAAATTCAAAAAGTGAACTAAGACTATAAAACATGAAACAGGAACTTAGTGGCTTTGGGAAACTCTGTCACAAAATTAAACCATTAAAGGGGTACGGAGTGCTAGGTCCTCAGAGCAAAAGCATCAGTTTGGTCTCCAGTACCACAATCAATCAATCACATATTACATGGGAAGAATTACAAAATCACATCATCTGATTTCTTTCTTTTTTCTTTCTTTTTTTTTTTTTTTTGTACCAGGGATCGAACTCGGGTCTTTGTGCTTACAAGGCAGGCAGAAGAACCACTGAGCTAAATCCCTGGCCCACAAAATCACATCAAAATCACTTTCACTAGCAAAGACATTTTTTTAATTAATTAAATTTATCGGTACATTTTAGGTATAATGATCACATTAATCACAGGGAATTGGTACCTGTACATGATATATCTGGATTATTTTTTTCCATTCCCCTACCCTTCCTTCAACCCCTCTTCCCCTCATTTATAAAAGCTGTGTTTCTATTATTTCCTTTCCCTGCCTTCCTTTCCTCCACTCCCTCCTCTACTCATTTGAACATTTTTCTCCTATTTTACAACATCTATTATACATTTTGGTCTTCATTTATAGTTTTAGTTTCTCACACAAGATAAACAATCTGGTATTTATACATGCATGTACAGTTTATTTTACTTAAGTGTATGGTCTCAAGGTGCATCCATTTAGCTACAAATGTCTCCAGTTTATCCTTCTTTGTGGCTGAGTAGTACGCCACTGTATAAAAAATTACATCTTCTTTATCCATTCATCAGCTGATGGGCATTTGGGCTGTTTCAAAGATTTAGCTATTAAAAACTGTGCCACTATAAACACAGGTATGCATATATCACTGTGGTATGTTTTTAATTCTATGGGAAGATACTAAGAAGAGAACAGCTGAGTCAAGTGGAACCTCTAGTTTTAGTCCTTTGAGGAATTTCCACAATGATTTCCAGTGGTTGCACCAGTCTACACTCCCACCAATAGTGGAAAGGGTTTCACTTTCCCCACAGCCTCACCAGCATTTGTTATTGGTTGATTTCTTGATAGCAGCCATTCTTTCTTGAGTGAGATGGAATCATGTTTTCATTTGCATCTCACAAAGGACCAGTGATGTTGAACATTTTTTTCATGTATTTATTTGCTGTTTCTACTTCAATTCAGATGCACAATTCTGGATTGGGTCTCTAAATTTGGTGGGGTCCAGTTTTTTTAAGTTCTTTATTTATTCTACATGGTAGTCCTGTGTCTGAGGAATAGCTGGTAAAAAAATTTTTCCCACGTTGCGGGTTGTCTCTTCACTCTGTTGGTTTCTCTTGCTATGCAAAAGCTTTTCAATAAGATGAGATCCCACTTTTTGATTCTTTGTGATAGTCCCTGTGCAACTGGGGTTTTATTCATAGAGTCTTTGGGCCTATATCAATGTCTTCAAGAGTTATACCTAATCTATCTTCCAGCAGATTTAGTGTTTCTGTTTTAATGTTTGGATCTTTGAACTGGAAGCCTTTTGCTGCTGCTCAGATTGATAAAATTGGATAAAATCCAGTGGGATGAAGAGAAAACAGACTTGTAACCACTGGTGGGACTAAACTGGCATGGCCCAGCTAGCATCCTGGCAAATCTACCAAAGTGTAAAAGCACTTGGGTCTCTGACCCAGAAATCCTATACCACAGCACTTACCCCATGGAGTAAAAGAATGAGCCCAAGAAGATGCCTATGTCCATGATATTAACCTTGGCATTGCTACTAGTAGGAAAAAATAAGCAACCTGATTTGTTTAATACAAATCTCAAAAGGTAATGGTATTTACATAAAAAGGAATAATTTTGCCACTATTAAAAATGATGTTTAGAGATTTACTACTTTCAAAAGATTATAATAGGTGACAAAAAGAACACAGTCTATATACTGTATCTAAGGCATTGTTTCCTGTATATACACATATCCACATCCATAGATGTGTTTACTAAGATGGCAATAAAACATCAATAGCAATATCTCTAAGAGATACGATTTCAAATTGTTCCAAGTTGTGACCATTAATCCCAATACGTCAGCATCACTGGACAAGGCCTAGCAAATCGAAAGTATGATTCTGGGTGTATACGGGTGGGCCAAGGAGGTGTGGCCATGGTCCCTCTTCCCTGTCAACTCACATTCGTAAGGAGCCTTGGCCTGCCCTGGACATCTGATCCCCTGCCAGGACTGGGGTCCCGGGTGAAGAGCCTTTTGCCCTGGGAACGGGGTACAGTCATGGTCTAAGAGGAACTGGTTGCTGCTTCCAATGACAGTATCCACATGATGCTAGTTTTCCAATATAAAAATTGTAAGGTCAGGGAGGCTTCCACTCAGGTCTCAAAGGAAGGCACAGGAGGCCAGGAAAAGAGTCCCAGAGAGGAAGCCGTGAGAATGAAGCCAAAGTAAAGTGAGGACCCCAGGAAATTAGAGATGTTGGGAATATAGTGAGTAAACAGAGCTTGGAGATGTTGGGAATGTGGTAGTGAACAGAGCCAGATCAAGAGTGGGTTGTGGGCTGTAACCTAGGAGTGGGGCTGCCAAGCTTTCTGGATGCCAAGCATGGAGCCATAGGACTTAATGTTTGCCCTGGAACTGTCGAGAATTTGGAGAAAGGATTATTCCATTTCTGGATGTGCTCTGGATAACTGTATCATATTAGGTGGAATTATGAACTTGCTATTGTCTTTATTTGGAGATTAATGATGGTTTAAGAAGACGTGTTTGGGTGTGAAATGGACGAGGGTGGATTGTGACAGTTAATCCTGATAGATCAACTTCACTGGATTAAGAAATGGCTAACAGATTAGTAAAGCACACTCCTGGGTATACAGGGGTGAGGCACGGAAGTGTGGCTTTGGTATTATGCATGGTCCCTCACCCATGACTCTGTGGCACTGTTCTCCTACTCTGCCTCCTGGCTATCGTGAACTACCCAGCTTTGCCCCACCATACTGTTTTGTGGTGATGTCTCTGCCTTGGAGCCTGCCAACCATGTAATGAATCTCCTGAAAACGTGAGCTAAATCAAACCTTTTCTCCTGCAGGTTGTGGGTGTATAGTGCTGCTTTAAATTTTTTCTCTAGATTCTACATGAGATTTTGTCTGAGTCTGGTTTATTTCACTTAACATGATGATCTTCAGTTCCATCCATTTTCCTGCAAATGACATGACAGTGCTTTTTATGGGTAATACTCAATTTGTATCATACTATAATCATGTTCTGATTGCAATAAATAGATCTCTAACATTTTCTTATCCATTCATACACTGACAGGGGTCTAGGCTGACTCTGTAGCTTAGATGTTTGTGAGCTGTGCCACAATAAACATGGTATGAAGGTATCTCTGAGGCAGATGTCCCCGACACCTAGACCATGGATCAATACTGGTCCCCAGCCTGTTAGGAACCAAGCCACACAAAAGCAGATGAGTTGTGGACAAGTAAGCGAGTCTGACCTGTATTTACAGCCCCTCCCCATCACCTGCATTATACTGCCTGAGCTCTGCTTCCTATCAGATCAGTAGCAGCATTAGATTCTCATAGGAGTATGAGCTCCATTGTGAATTACGCACGTGAGGGATCTAGGTTGCACGCTCCTTATGAGAATCTAATGCTTGCTGATCTTAGGTACAGCTGAGGCAGTAGTGCTAGCACTGAAGAATGTAATCACTACATATCACAAACATATACCAACTTTAAAGAGAAATCAGGCTGGGTATTTAGCTCAGTGGTTTCCCCACCTGCTTTACAAGCACAAGGTCCCAAGTTTGATCCCTGGTACCAAATAAATAAATAAGAGAAATTCTCTCTCTCTCTCTCTCTCTCTCTCTCTCTCTCTCTCTCTCTCTCTCACACACACACACACACACACACACACACAAACACACTCTCATCCATAGAAATATCATCTTCCACAAAACCAGTCCCTGGTGCCAAAACAGTTAAGGACCACCGCTCTATAGCATGCTAACTTAACTCTCTGGGGTATATACCAAGGAGTAATGTTTAAGTCTTAAAAAGATAATACAAAGGTATTAAAAGGAGAGTATGATCCATTAGGAGAACCTCTTTTGATTTTTCAAAGTGTGGAGGGGAAGCAAATCACCTGCCCAATTCTCTGAAACACACACACACACACACACACACACACACACACACACACACACACACACAGCAGAGACTCTCTTAACCAGCCCCAAGGCAGAGGATACCCCTTCCTCCCAGCCAAACACCCTGTCACCAGCTATTCTAGTGAAATCCCTCTGCTCCATGAGTAGCCATGTTGTCAGCTTATGAAGAATCCCTTTAGTTTGTTCCCAAACCTGTTCACGGCAGTAGTACTTACAATCAAATTATAGAATTTATTGAATATTAATTAAAACTATGAACTATGTATACAAACAGACAGCTAGTTGTATGAAAACTAATATATACTTTAGGGAAGACCAGATAAAGACAAGTCACTGAAAAACAAATTTCTGGCAAATTAGGTGAGGGTGAGACAACTATAAAGGATGTGGGAGGAACACAGACTACAGGAATTCTATATTCAGATTGCTTTTTGAGTGTCTAAGTTTTCTCTTCATCTTAAAGAAACAGAAATTGGAAGTGACAGACATTCATTATGAATGTGGCTTATGAAAGAAAGAAGATGTGGAACTCCAATCAGCAATCCCAAATTCAAAGAAAAGGCCTGGCTCTACATCAAAAGAATGGCAAAAGAATGTATGTTTCTCTGTTTTGAGTTAAACTAAAATGCTTAAGGTAGGTATCATTTTTTGACTCCTTGCCTTAACCTACCTTTAAGATTAACCAATCATGTCAGGTGCAAGGACTTCAGTGGTTCCTCCAAAACACATCCTAATTTAAACATTACATTTGCTTTGATTTTCTTCTGCCATCTCTGAGCCCAAAAGACTTGGGCTCTGGTCATGGCTCAGAGGCTACACACTCTAGGATAAAGTCATCCTGCGTTCAGAGGCTTAATTACATCTGTGATATGGGGATGACCAGCTCTGGCCCACCCATCACCCCACAGTAAGATGAGGCTCTACTGAAGTGGGTGCAGGAAGCTGGGGGATGATCACGGCACATCTGCCTGGCCAACCCCTACCCACTTCGCACTTTCTCCAGGACATTTCAGTGGCACCCCTTCCCCACCACTGTGCTGTCACAGTGACTGTAGTAACTGGTCATTTACTTGCTTGCATCAGTAAGTGTCTTTCTTCCCTCTGATCACCCATGCCTGGCTCAGAGCAGGTGCCATGACACCATTTGTGAATTGGCAGGTTCGCTTTCACTGTCGCTTTCCTAATACCCTATACATGGCCTGTCTAGCACTTGAAACAAGAAATTTTAATTACTGTATGTTGGCTGCTCCACTGGATTCCACTCTTCATTTTTATAGAAAGATTCTACAGTGAAAACAGCAAGGCCTCCAAAGCACAGCTCTGGTACATCCTCGCTGTGCCATTTAACTCCCTAGAGTTTGAGTTCCAACTTCTGGATCAAATAAAAACAACAATATATAAAAAATAAAAGGCATAAGGACAGTTGAGCTTTATAGTTCAAATGGACTTCTCATTTGTTAATTATGAGAACACCTGGCTCCCTGAGCTCCAGTATGGGCAAGTGGGACGCTGAGAGTAAGCAGAGCGCCAGGCATCCCACAGGTGCTCAGCAGAACAACTCCTACCAAGGACCTTGGCGCCAAGCTCAGCGCTGCAAGCCACTCCCCTCCCAGAGGTTACAACATTCTCCATCAGTGCTCAGCCTGGCTTCTGGGGTAGGTCTATTTGCTTATTTCTTTCCTTTTTTATAAGATGAACACTTCAAACATTTACAACAGCAGCAGAACTGGATAATGGCCCCCTGGTACCTATCCAACCTCATCAAGCACCAGTGCAAGGCCAAACTACTTGCATACACAACACTGATCATCCTCTCCCAAAAATTATTTTGAAACCAATACTAGAAACCAATCGTGTCCTTTTATCCATAAAATATTTTAGCATATATCTCTAGGGGAAAAAAGAGTATTTTTTAAAACCCCAAAATATCATTAATGTATCTAAAAATGAAAAGAATTCCTTAGTCTAGATTAAACATCCCTAATCTAAAAGTCCAGAATTCATATGCCCTAAATCCAAAATTTTTAAGCCAATGGATTTTGGATTTACAAATTAGAGACACTCAACCTGTGCTCCAAATCTAGGGGGAAAAGAAAAAAAAAAAAAAAAAAAAAAAAACTTTTGCATGGTCCAGGCATTTCAAGCAGTGGGTACTCAATCTGTATCACCAAATATTGAGTCAGGGAACATATTTCTCTGATTGTTTCCTAATTTTAATTTTTTAAACAATTTGATTCAGGATCCAAATAAGATTCACATTTTGCATGTGTCACCTCTTAAATTTCTTCTAAACCAGTGGGTGTAGAAGCTCCAGAAAGGAGCTAGGCTGCTAGGGCCATTCCTAGAAGGGCTGATTCAGTTGGTCTGGGGTGAAGTCCAGCCTTGTGACAAGATTCTGGGTGACAAGTTTCCAGAGCTCACACTTTGAGAGCCACTGTAAATCTACAGGTTATCCCTCTACCCTGCCTTTTTCCTTTCTTACTAGGAGACAACAGAATTTGAGCTCATATTGTACATTTGCTGTCCAGACCTAGAATTAAGCCATTTCTCCAGGAAGTCCTGCCTCCTTTAAGAGGGAAGAGGCATTTAGAAACCATAATTTGGGCATTAGAGGTCCTTAATGATACTGGGTTGAATTTTCTTTAGTCTTTTATAGGGAATGAATTAATAATACATTTTGAAAAATAGAAAACACATCACGAATTCCATAGTGATGTTTATAATTCAAATTTAGGATTACAGGGCTTTTATTTCTTTGATTTTATATCTCCAGTCTCTAACGGTAAAAATCTCAGTACCTAGTGAAGTTATTTGTTTTATCTTGCAATAGAAATACAATAGTTTCAAAATATCAATATCTATAGTATCACTAACAATATGTTATGGTTTGGGTATAGATGTCCCCCAAAGCTTCACGCGGTCACAGGCTTGATCTAGAGTGTGTGAAGCTGGAATTGATTCATGACGCAATGCTAGGCTCCAGGGCACTAGGATTAAGTGTGAGTGCTGCCCGCCCTAAGTAGCCTGAATAAAATAAAAGAGGCAGGGAGACGCTGTTAACTCTCTCATTACCTTGCTGCCTTGTGTGTGCCGTGTTGTTTCTGCTCTGCCATGACTTTTTTTTTTTTTTTTTTTTTTTTTTTGGTACCAGGGATGGAACTCGGGTCCTTGTGCTTGCGAGGCAGGCACCAGAACCACTGAGCTAAATTCCCAGCCCCTGCCTTGACTTTTTGTTATCCTTGCCTTGGAGCCAGCTGATTATGGACTCAAACCTCTACAAACTATAAGCCAGTTTCTACCCCTCCAACTTTGGGTGTCTGGTATTTTGTCTCAGCAATGAGAGAAAAGTAACACAAAATATAACCACTGAAAGCAGTTCAAATCAAAGTTTTGAAGTTTTCAATGGTTCCTTTTGCCTTCAGAGCAATTCTGCTAGGGATGTTCAGTCAAATCACCACACTGCAGGTGTCTGCTGTGGGCCACATACAGTAAGAGTGATCTGTTGCATCTTATTATAAACTTTTGGAAATAGTTTTTCATTCTATTTTGATGTATTCTGCTTATAATTATGTAAAACATTTATATAACTTCAAAGTCAAACCTACAAGACAAGGTCTCTAGAGAAATCTAGCTTTATTTAATCCCTTCCTCTCTAATCTTTCCTTTCACATCCCTGTGCATAGCCTGTATTTTTATTGTTCACCCTCTATTTAAAAAAAAATATTCTAAGCAAGTATGTGATTTTATTTGTACCCATCCAACCAACTTACTTTCTTTCTTTCTTTTTTTTTTTTTTTTTTTGAGACAGGGTCTCACTATGTAGTTGAGACTGACCTGGAATTCACTATGTAATCCAGGCTGGTCTCGAACTTGCAGCAATCCTCCTACCTCAGCCTCCCAAGTGCTGGGATTATAGGTGTACACCTGGCTCCACCCAACTTTCTTAGATAAACATGCACATGATGGACACTTTCCAAGCATTTGTATGGGTCGAGACATTAAATGCAAAAGGGAATTTAATGATACTCAGGAGTAAACAGCAGGTAGTTGCTGCTGAAAACTTGGAAATCTGCTCTACATGCACTCCACACCAGGCCAAAGGTACCAGGCATAATATGTGCTGAAAACAAAAACAGCGTATTGAGGGTCAAACAACTTAGACATGTTGACTTAAAACCATATGGGACATGGGCCAGGGATTTAGCTCAGTGGTTCCGCCACCTGCCTGACAAGCACAAGGACTTGAGTTTGATCCCTGGTACCAAAAAAAAAAAAAAATCATATGGGACAGGTATTAGAGTTTGGGAGCACGGGAAGAAATTATTCATTCATCTATTCATTCCTTAAAATATATAAACAAACTAGATATGGCTCCCTAAAATAAGACAGAGGGTGAACAGACATAAAATTATAATTTGTGATAAGGGCTAGGATAAAACAGAAAGCAACACCATGGTTGAGTGATCAGGGAGCTCTCTCTGACTTGGACGTAACATTAAGCTAAGAAATGAAGATGAAAAGGAGTCAGGAGGGGGACAGGAAACACTTCAGGCAGCCAGACTGTGTCACACATGGCTAAGATGGAATAGAGCTTGGTGTGTTAGAAGAAAGGAAAAGCCAATGGCAGCCACAACCCCTGAGTCCCACCATCCCCCCTGAACAGGTCATCCACTCAATGCCCCAACAGTTTGAAATGAATTTCCTGTGCAAGGAATAGTTATGAACTTCCCCAAGCTTAGTGCACCCAAACTGCTCCCCTGATCACCAAGAAGGAAGCTCAGGATAGGCTCCTCACTAGGACATTCAGAGCACAGGGTGCTGCCTCTCTGGCCAGGTCTCAGACATGTCAAAAGGAGTGTAACTAAATGGGGTGATGACACAGAGCTCAAATTTCCCTTCTGACTTCCCATTGGCCAGGAGAGACAAATGAAGGGGGACACACCTATCCAGGCCACCAGCCAGAGGATTCTAACTTGCTACTCCTGCACACTGTACAGCAGGGAGCTTCCTGATTAGCCAAAGTAGCTGTGCAACTTGTCACAAAAAACACAGGGAATCCATGGACACTGGGGCAGGGCTCTGCCTGCCTGGCTCTTGCTCTGGACCTGTCACTCCTAAGTAGTTAAAACAGTCATGAACATGGCTCCCTAAAACCCAATGAAAGCTATTAGGATCCAGGCAAAGGCACCTACAGTGAAGCAACTGTGAGTAGACAGCAGGAGCTGGCCCAAGAGGGTAAACAGACCTTAAAGCCTCCAAAGTGAAAGAATACACTCTAGGTTCATGTAGTTATGCTTTCCAGCCAGCTCCTCGACCCATGCCTCAGTGTTCCTGGGTGTGGAGTGTGGACAGAACCCTCTCACTGAAGGCGCTAGGCGTGGGGTACGCATGCCAGGGCTGCAAGCTGAGCTCTTGGAGTGCTGAGGGTCTGATGAGAACACAATGAAACTGTAATAAACTTGTTGCCTTCTCCTCTGTCTGACACATACCCACACTGAGGGAACATCAGCTGTGGGCCAGCCTGGACTGGGCACAGAGAGGATCGAAACACAGGCCCAGGGGTTCCCTTGTGCTGCTGAAGCATCACCACCTACCTGCCCACAGTGGAGGGCACACTGGCCATCGGTCGGGAGGGAGACTCTCCAGAGGAGCTTCAGGGACTTTGAGGCCTCTTCTAGGATCTGTCTGGTTGTGCTCAAGCTGGAGACAAATCTGCTCAGAGATGTGGAGTGTGGACCCTACCAGGGAAAGAAGTGGTTTAATTCAGTCTGGAAAGAGATTCTGGACAAGCAAGCTCCGACAGATGCAGGCTTGTGTTTCACATGCTGAGCAGGAGCCTGGTGCCAACACAACACCAATTAATTGCGCTTAAAGACTGGTGAATGGTAAAATGTGAGAGGAGTTTGGTGGTGAGTGTAGATAAATTAGTAATCGCCAGCCTTAACTCTCATTACTACTTCACCAAGGAGAGGATCCATGCCATAGCCACTCATACACTCCACAGCCCACAGAGCCCCTCCAGAGGGAATGATGCCAACAGCAAGAGGAGCAGTAGAGATGTTTGTATCACACGATGTCGGCCTTGTAAAGTCTCCCTCACCGTCTCTGGTAGCATCCTCAGTGGGGGAATGGCAAGGAATAGAAAACACAGACTGTGATGCAGAGAAGGGGAAATAACAAAGAAGAATATAAGAAATTAAAAGAGCATTTGCCTTGGACCTGGGATTTAGCTCAGTGGTTCTGCTGCCTGCCTCTCAAGTGCAAGGTCCCAAATTCAATCCCCGGAACCAAAACAAAACAAAACAAAAAAAGTAGCATTTGCCTTCCCAAGTAATACATGTAGAATCACACACCCTTTTTAGTTATCACTGACATAAATTCATACAGAAATACTCAACAGGGACAAAGGTGTAGTGACACAGATGCTCATGAACAGACACAAAATCTTTTCCGAAAGTTATGTAGCAAGAGCCCTAAAAGGTTCACAACCTTTGAACCAACAACTCCACTTCATAACTAATGAAAAATATGATCAGATTTATGAATAGGGAGCCTCATTACAGTTTATATGCACAACAAACTGAAAGCGTAAGTAGATGATGGCACATCCACGCGTCAGCTTATTGGCAGCTATCCAAAGTACTACAAAAATACTTAATGAGATAGGGAAAGTGTTAACTCTATGGGAGTTCAGATATATGAAACCCATACATTTCTGAGTAGGTCTGGGAAAGTTTATGAATGTCCGGCAAGTATATGTATATGTATGTATA